ATTCAAGTAGAATTTAAAAACTTCCTAAATAAGTAATTTTGTAAATGCTATAGCCTTCTTAAAAATTTGGATTTGGGCAGGGCATGGTAGCTCATGACTGTAAACCTAGCACTTTGAGAGGCTGAGGTGGGAGGATTGTTCGAGGCCAGGAGTTTGAGACCAACCTGGGTAACACAGCGAGAGCCCATCTCTACAGAAAAATAAATGAATTAGCCAAGTGTCACACGCCTACAGCTTGGGCAACAGAGGGAGACCCTGTCTCTTAAAAAAAAAAAAAAAAAAAAGTGAATTCTATAGATGAAGTACCTTTTAGGTTCCTCATGTGTTACTTTTCTTCTTTTTATTTTGCAGGCACTCGCCTGCCTTGGGATGAGCAGTGGCTGATTGAATCACTTTCCGATTCCACTATTTACATGGCATTTTACACAGTTGCACACCTGTTGCAGGGGGGTAACTTGCATGGACAGGCAGAGTCTCCACTGGGCATCAGGTAGGTAAACAGATAAGGGAAAGGAGTGTAATTTGTTAGCAGGAGTTGAGGCAAGGCAAGATGGCCTATCACTTTGGGAGGCCTAGGAAGGAGGATCATTTGAGGCCAGGAGTTTGAGACCAGCCTGGGTAACATAATGAGACCTCGTATCTACAAAAAAATTTAAAAAATTAGCTGAGTATGGTGGTGCAAACCTATAGTCCCAGCTACTTGGGACCTGAGGTGGAGGATTGCTTGAGCCCAGGAGTTTGAGGTTACGGTGAGCTATGATGGTGCCACTGCATTCCAGCCTGGGTGACAGAGTGAGACCCTGTCTCAAAAAAAAAAATTGTGATCGTTTGACTTACATATTGAAATATTTATGTCATTATATTTAGTTTTCATAAGAATTCATGTAGCAAAATTTTGTCATGATGTTTTTGCTTCTTTACTACTGTATTGAGAAAAATTAACGAATAGCCTTGACTGTTACCATTATCCATTCTTCATTCTTATGGGAGGTATTGTTCTTATTTGTTACTCCAACTACATAAAGAGATTCTTGATTCGTGATTAAAGTATTGATTCTTTCAAATAAATTATATATATACACAATAGTTTGTTTGTTTTATTTTTAATACAGACCACAACAGATGACCAAGGAAGTTTGGGATTATGTTTTCTTCAAGGAGGCTCCATTTCCTAAGACTCAGATCCCAAAGGAAAAGTTAGATCAGTTAAAGCAGGAGTTTGAGTTCTGGTATCCTGTGGATCTTCGAGCCTCTGGCAAGGATCTTGTTCCAAATCATCTTTCATATTACCTTTATAATCATGTGGCTATGTGGCCGGAACAAAGGTGAATGCTAAAATAGATGTGGACTAGATTATTGATTGTCAACATGGGTGTCTTATAGCCTCAAATATCTACAAAATTATTGTGGAGGTTATAGCTAGATTTGCCAAGTATGTTCTTTTTCTTCTATTAAATGTAAACTAAAGCAGAAAGCTCACCTCCTCCTGTCTGCTATATCCAGATATCCTCATACCTACCCCAGGCCACCAAAGCATGTCATATTTCAGGTGCATTGATGGTTTGCCAGTAATTCATTTGACCTTTTAGATGCAAGAATAAAGGCAATTTAAGATAGGTCCTAGAATGTTAGAATTGGAAAGAATCTTCCCTTTAGATCAGGGAGCCCCAAGGATCCAACATTGGTTGGTAGCAGTGTTCTGACTAGAATCTGGGTCCAGCAGAGGCGTTTTTAATACTGTGTTTGTGCTCTGTAGTAACCCGTCCATCCCCTTCCCTCTTTACCCAGACATGTCTCTGCTTTTCCCTCTAGTCCCTCAAGTAGCTGAGGAAACAAACCCCCCCCAGTCTGTTCAGATTTTATTTCATAAAAGTAAGACAATCTCATGTGACTTCTTGTGTTTAGAATAAGATTGTATTTTTTTTCTCAAGAATAAAAGGAAGATTTTGAAGTAGAGGAATAAAATAAATCTAATGTGGTTCTTACTCTATTTGTCATCCAATTATTTTCCTTTATTGTTTAAAATGTATTTTTAGAGAAATTGGTTATCTCAGAAGTACCCTTTAGTAATAAGTTGAGTCTTCATCCCTTTGTACTAAGTTTTTTATATTTTTTAGGTTTTTCAAAATTATAGATAAGTAATAACATCAAGTGCTTATGCCACACACTGTTCTAACCACTTTTAATAATTCTTTTATCTTTCACTACAACTTTTCAAGGATCCTTACTGAGGCATAAAGAGGTCCAATAACTCACCCAAAGCTACCCAGCTAATAAATGGCAGAACCAAAATGCAACCTCAGAGAGACTCTAGAACTCTTGGTCTCAACCACCATGCCCCATATGATCTCATTGCTAGAATGAACGAATGACATGTACGTAGTTTTAAAATTCAAAGACTACATAAAGGCAAAAAGTTAAAAGTGAACTTTAATCTTTGCCCGCATACCACTTTAATTCCCAAAGCTCATCACTGCCATTGGTTTATTGTGATTTTATATACCAGCGTTGGATATCTATATTTATTTTTAAATTTATACAAAGATACCACATTGTTCGGACTGTTCTGTCTCTTGTTTTTTTGACAGAATATATTGTTAAGATATTTTTATATCCATACATATAGCCCTGCCTTTATTTTTAAAAT